GTTTTACGGTACTCGCAACTGCATAAGGTCATATGAGCGCCAGAAGATTAGAGGTGTTACAAGAGAGTAACAAACATAAAAAAGAAGAAGGGGAGATAAGGACGATGTTTGATAGGAAAGAAGAAGCAAACCACACCAGAGCACCCGCCAACCACCCACTTAGGATGTCTGCTACATGACAGTACCTTTACTTTTTAACATAGTCGCCTTCTTTGTCGCATGCCGACGGCGGAAAATTCATGTGGTTTTCCTCTGAACCAGCGACGCACTTTTTGAACGACCTAAGTATTATTCTCCTACACCTGTCACAGACGGAATTGTATTACTTTCCTGATTTGGTTGACATGCCGTATTCAAAGTAACACGAAAGTGTGAGTCGAGGGCCATAGATTTATATTACACACACACACACACACACACACACACACACACACACACACACACACACACACACACACACACACACACACACACACGCACACACACACGCGCACACACACACACACACACACACACACACACACACACACACACACACACACACACATACACACCAGGCGCGGTTCGTCCATAGAGCACGGTCGTGCAGTGCCGCCCCAATTTTTTTTTGTTCTTGTACGTAAAGCACCCACAATAATAAAATAAAAGACGCAAGAAACAAACACAAGTCAAATATTATATCAAAACAAGGTCCTTGCTGGCTCTGTAACAGTCATTTCTGTGTCTACAGTGCGGTAAAACATCTACATGTACTATGCAGTATGCCATGCCAAAGCCTACGCGCTCTAACTAAACGTAATAGGAGATTCAACAGTGGTAACCTGACCTATACATCGCTCTTTGGCATAACCCAAGCGATGACGACAGTCGTAGCGAGTTTGGCGGTACATTAATATTAATAAGTCGCACATCTCAAATGTGCTCCAGCCGAATAGTGCCGAAACAAAAGCCCACAGTAGGCAGTCTAAAAATAAACGTCATATACTGTACACTATTCTATGCCAAAATTATGTGAGCCCCGGAGCAATCCAGCAGAGTGCTCAAGTGAATTCTGATTGGTTCATTGTCTTGCCACTAGGCTATTTTAAGCGACTCTGTGACCGTGAACCCGAGGGAGGTGAACGTGACATACTCAAGTCACCGTCCTATGATTTGTATCTTTGAATGGTTTTGTTTGTGGAGTGGTGAAAGTTATTACTGGAGTAATCAGTTCTTATAACACAGGCGGTCCTCCGGGGTATGTTTTGTCACCAGTTTTGTATACTATATATACCAACGATCATAGAAGTATATATAAAACAACACGCTTAATTAAGTTTGCAGATGACTCCGCTATTATTGGATTAATAAACCTTGATGAAAAAGAGTATTTCGAAGAAATATGTAGGTTTTTTAAATGACGCAACTCAAATTTTCTAAAAGTGAACCTCTCAAAAACAAAGGAAATTATTTTTTATTTTAAAAGAGAAAAACCAACAATCCCACCACTCGTAATTGAACAAGAAACTATTGAAATCACGGATTCATACAAATATCTTGGCCTTACAATAGACAACTAATTTACATGGCAAAACCACGTAAACAATATCGTTAAAAAGGTAAATCAGAGGCTGTACTTTCTGAGGAAACTAAAGTCTTTCAATCTGAATCCATCCATCCTTCAGATTTTCTACACCACCACAATAG